ATCTCTCCACTCTCCCACACTATCTCTCCACTATCTCTCCACACTCCCACACTATCTCACCACTCTCCCACACCATCTCTCCACTCACACACACTATCTCTCCACTCTTTCTACAATCTGTCCACTGTCCCAAACTATCTCTCCACTCTCCCACACTATCTCTCCACTCCCCCACACTATCCCTCCACTCTCCCACACTATCTCTCCACTCTCCCACACTACCTCTCCACTATCTCTACACTCTCCCACACTATCTCTCAACTCTCCCACACTACAGCGACGGAAAGTATTGTCCACATGTTTGTGACTTAGAGGAATTTTGCCATTTTAGGGGGTCATGGACATTAAGACTTAATCTTCTGGTGTGCCTAGTGTATGTAGGTTGGGGTAAGGCTCCACGCCCATGCCTTACATCACACAAGTATAATGATGTTTACAACAAATACTAGAAAATATCAATCTTGGTACATGTGGACAATTATTGCCAGGCGCAAGCAGCAAGTTACATCAACCCCAAACTAGTACCTAATCCACCGCCCTTTCGCCTTAGACACCGCCCTCACCCTCCTGGGCATGCTTTCCACCAGGTGGGTGCACACATCCGCCGGGATCTTCTCCCATTTCTCCTGCACCCGCTCCCAAAGGTCCAGCATACCAGTGGGAGGCTTATAAGGCTTGGCCAACTGCCTCTTGAGATGAGCCCATAAATGCTCCATTGGGTTGAGGTCGGGTGAGGAAGACGGCCACTCTAGCACCCCTGAATCTTACTCTCAAAGCCACTCCTGTACGATACGCGACTTGTGCTTCGGGTCGTTGTCGTGCTGGAAGATAGTTTTTGAGGGTGTAAACTGGTAAAGCTCAATCGTACAGTTGAGATCGTCCTGCAGTATACTCAGCGAGAGCATTCCGTCCACCCTACCTTATGTTTTGCTCATGAAACCCGCTCCTTTTTACGACATGCAGTCGTAAATTATCAAGCAACCTTCCCCGTGTTTGACGGTCTGCTTGATTTGGTGTCTTTGGAGGGCAGTCCCTTCGTGAACGCAGGCGTATGAGAGTCAGTCGGATGCAAGACGACCGATCATGGTCTCATCCGCACAGATAACTCGCCTCTAGTCGTCAACCGTCCAGTCTGCGTGGGCACGCGCCCATTCCAGCCTATCGCGTATGTTTTTCCGAGAGTGTCGCGGTTTCTTGGGATGCTTGATTGCAACAAGTCGGATCCCATTCAAAGCGTTACGCAATGTCTTAGGATGCAACGTGATGCCGTGCTGCTTCTCAACGATTTTCGCCACGTGAGCGGAGATTTCTGCCTCCTCGAGGGTAATCAACCGAACTATGCCGCGGCGAACTCTCTCTGTCACTAAGCGAGGGCGACTGGCTGAGGGCATCGTAGGACACACGTCATCGCGGCTAGACTCTACAATCGCCTTGATTGGCCGAACTCTTCCCTATGGCTAGCTGTTTAGCGATTCAACGATTGCTCTACCCCCTCCGCAACAAGGGAATGATCTATGCGTAGAGCGCCTCATCTAACGGTTTCATGACGGCCTAATCATCGCAGTGGTCCTAGCCTATCTCCTGACTACTCGATAGTCCCGAGGGCAAGTAAGAAGAAATAGCGAGGTTAGGAAATAGATCTACTACGCTGCTTGGCCTAAATTGTCCGGATGCACCCACGCAGACGAAATCTCGTCCTCGGTAAAAAATCGACCCCTATAAAACTGAAACCAGCATCCGTCACATACAGTACAGTACTACTTTACATCCAACCCCGAAATTTGATTCGTAACTAAACAAAGGAGGCACCAAACCAGTACGAGAAATGTTTTAAGGCAATTATCCGAGCAATACTTTCCGTCGCTGTATCTCTCCCTATAATCTCTCCACTCTGCCACACTATCTCTCCACAATCTCTCCACTCCCCCACACTATCTCTCCACATAATCTCTCCACTCTCCCACACTCTCTTTCCACAATCCCTCCACTCCCCACACTATCTCTCCACTCTCCCACAGTATCTCTCCACTATCTCTCAACTCTGTCACACTCTCTCCACTCTTCCACACTATCTCTCCACTCTCCCACACTATCTCTCCACTCTCCCACACTATCTCTCCGCTCTCCCACACTATCTCTCCACCATCTCTCTTCTCTCCCACACTATCTCTCCACTCTCTCATACTACCTCTCCACTCTCTCCACAATCTCTCCACAATCCCAAACTATCTTTCCACTCTCCCACACTATCTCTCCACTCCCCCACACTATCTCTCCACTCTCTCACACTATCTCTCCACTCTCCCACACTATCTCTCCACTATCTCTACACTCTCCCACACTATCTTTCCACTCTCCCACCTCCACTATCTCTCCAATCTCCCACACTATCTCTCCAATCTCCTGCACACTCTCTCCACTCTTCCACACTTTCTCTCCACTCTCCCAAACTATCTCTCCACTGTCCCACACTATCTCTCCACTATCTCTCCACTCTGTCACACTATTTCTCCACTCTCCCAGACTATCTCCCCACTTTTCCACACTATCTCTCCACTCTCACACTCTCTCTCTCCACTCTCTCCACTATCTCTACACTGTCCCACGGGATCTCTCCACTCTTCCGCACGATCTCTCCACTCTTCCACACTATCTATCCACTCTTCCACACAGTCACACCACACTTCCACACGATCTCTCCACTCTCTCACACTATCTTTCCACTCTCCTACACTATCTCTCCACTCTGCCACACTATCTCTCCACTCTCCCACACTATCTCTCCACTCTCCCACACTATTTCTCCACTATCTCTCAACTCTGTCACACTATCTCTCCACTCCCCCACACTATCTCTCCACTATCTCTCCACTCTCCCAGACTATCTCTCCACTTTCTTACACTATCTCTCCACTCTTCCGCACTATCTCTCCACTCTCCCACACTATCACTCCACTCTGCCACACTATGTCTCCACTCTCCCACACTCTCTCTCCACTATCTCTCCACTCTCCCACACAATCTCTCCTCTCTTTCACACTATCTTTCCTCTCTCCCGCTTTATCTCTCCACTATCTCTCCACTCTCCCACACTATCTCTCCACTATCTCTCCACTCTCCCACACCATCTCTCCACTATCCCACACTATCTCTCCACTCTCCCACACTATCTCTCCACTCTCCCACACTCTCTCTCCACTCTCCCACAATATCTCTCCACTCTCACACACTCTCTCTCCACTCTCTCCACTTTCTCTCCATTGTCCCACAGTATCTCTCCACTCTTCCACACTATCTCTCCACTCTTCCACACTATCTCTCCACTCTTCCACACTATCTGTCCACTCTTCCACACTATCTCTCTACTCTCTCACACTATCTCTCCACTCTCCCACACTATCTCTCCAATCTGGCACACCATCTCTCCACTCTCCCACACTCTCTCTCCACCATCTCTCCACTCTCCCACACTATCTCTCCACGCTCCCACACTATCTCTCCACTATCTCTCCACTCAGTCACACTATCTCTTCACTCTCCCACACTATCTCTCCACTCTCCCACACAATCTCTCCCCTCTCCCACTCTATCTTACCACTATCTCTCCACTCTCCCACACTATCTCTCCACTATCAAACACAATCTCTCCACTCTCCCATACAATCTGTCCACTCTTCTACACTCGCTCTCCACTCTCCCACACTATCTCTCCACTCTCCCACAGTATCTCTCCACAATCTGTCCACTCCCCCACACTATCTCTCCAATATCCCACACAATCTCTCCAATATCTCCCAAATCTCCCACGCTATCTCTCCACTCTATCCACAATCTCTCCACTGTCCCAAACTATCTCTCCATTCTCCCATAATATATTTCCACTCTCCCACACTATCTCTCCGCTCTCCCACACTATCTCTCTAATCTCCCACACTATCTCTCCACTCTGCCACACTATCTCTCCACTCTCCCACACTCTCTCTCCACTCTCTCTCCATTCTCTCTCCACTCTCTGACTCTGTCTCTCTACTCTCCCACACTATGTGTCCACTCTGCCACACTATCTCTCCACTCTCCCACACTATCTCTCCACTCTGCCACACTATCTCTCCACTCTCCCACACTATCTCTCCACTCTCCCACACTATCTCTCTGATAGGCGACAGCAACTCGATCTAAATCCAATTTACAGATCACTGTTTAAGGCACACATCATATCGGCATCAGTATTTGAAGCTGTCTGACGGAATTCTGACTCTGCACAATTGCTCTCATTTTTGGCACATCTGAGCCTATTGTGATAATAACAAGGGGTATCAGAGCCCCTTTGAGCTGTCTCGACCATGCCTAGAGCTGATGAAGGGGGTGGCAGATGTGCTGGAGGCAGAGAAGACGCCCAAGCACAAGGTCAACACCAAGATCCACCCGTTGCTCCGGTGCAACCTAGTCTTGGACCCTCTAGGGATGAGCCTAGAGTGTTTGGCCTTGACAAGTTCAACGGTGACAACTTTGCTGAGTGGTCCTTCAAGATGGAGAACATCTTTGACCACTATGATCTGCTGGAGGTGATGGAAGGAACGGAGAAGCGCCCCGAGAATGACTCGGAGAAGAGCCCGTGGGTGCGGAAGAGCGCACAAGGCTACCTTCTACTTGGGCAAGCGTTGGGGAGCAGCCAAATCCGTCACATCAAGCCTTTTCAGCGTGAACCAGCAAAGGGACCAAAGGCATGGGCTGCTCTCAAGGGTGTACATGCTCCTGCAACAGCGGCGGTGGCTGTGGTTTTGGAGCGGCAAATGGCGGCACTTCGAATTGACGAAGGCGAACCGGTGGAGGAAGGAGTGCAGAAATTCTTCGACTTGTTGACACGGCTCGAAGGAGCTGACCTGAACTACAGTGACCTTCAAAAGAAGACCAAGCTGCTGGCCTTACTTCCGGACTCATGGTCCTCGCTCATCATCAATCTTAATCGAGATCTGCCCCGTCTCTCACTCGAAGATGTGAAGCGGGAAATCTTACAAGAAGATTTCCGCCGTCGCGAATTGGCGGGTCCCGATGGTGCCGGAGTTGCAAGCATGGGCCGTGGGCACGGCCGTGGAAGAGGCAGAGGGCGAGGAGGAAGATTTGGCAGCAGTAACTTCAATGGAGGCCGTGGTAATGGAGGATATGGCAGCAACAACAACAACAATGGCTACGGGCGTGGGCGCGGTCGATTTGATGACGAATGCCACTTTTGCCACAAGACCGGCCACATGTGGAGAGATTGCTACAGATTGCCTGATGGATGGACCCCTTCCCAAGGCCAAGAGGGCAGAGGAGCAAGGGGAGGAAGAGGCAGAGGTCGTGGAGGCCGTGGTGGTCGTGGAAGCGAAGCGGCAAGCATGAAAGGTGGAGACTACGACAAGGATTCGAGTGAAGATCGATACCCGGGCCAATTCTTCTTTGTCTCCACGCAAGAGGCAGCTGCAGCAGGAGGTGTGGAAGGCTTTGAGGAGCCAGCTACTGTGGGAAAGGTCACCCTTCACTCTCTGGACTTTTGGGTGATCGATAGCGGCGCCACCTACAGCATGACACCTCGTGCGGACTTGCTCACCGAACTCGAACCGTCGCCGGTCAAGCATGTTACATCGGCTTTGGGGCAGCGAGCAGAGGTGAAGGGCATGGGCAAGGCCATGTTCAAGGGTGCTGATGGGAAGATGGTGGGCCACAAGAACGTGCTTTGGGTGCCCAACCTAGCAGCCAACCTGATTTCTGTTCGGCGTTTGCAAAAGGCCGGCATGGACACATCTTCCAAGGGATCCAAAACCTATACCGCAAGGCTTGGTGAGCGGAAGCTTTGTGACATTCATGAGGACAGGGACATCTACAATGAGATGTGGCAAATCCCAGTGGTCCCCATGCCTAAAGAGAGGCAAGTGGCAGCAAGCGTCAGCACCAAGCGTGAAGCGGTTGGTGGCGGTGATCACGGAAAGCAAAGTGACACCAAGAGTGACTCGAAGGAGTGCAACCTTGGAGAGACCAGCAAGGCGTGTGAACCCAAGGAGAATGGTGCAGCAGCCAAAGGTGGTGGAAATGAGGAGGAGAAGGCTAAGATCAACAAAGCAGCAGCGGCGAAGGAGAAAGGAGAGAGCTTGTGGGGCACAATTGCGAGTGCCGCTTTCTCCAACCCGACTTCCGCTACTGGAGTGTGTGATTGGCTGACCTTGCATCGGCGAATGGGGCATGTGGCATTGCCCATTTTGCAGCAGATTGTTAAGCAAGAGATGGTCAGTGGGATACGTGTCAAGGGGGAGCCCAATGAGGTGCTTGGCTGTCCAACATGCATGCAAGCCAAGTTCACCCGCTACCCGTTCCATAGCTCGGAGACAACGGCGAAGGCACCACTTGATGAGGTGGTGATGGATGTGGTGGGCCCCTTGAAGCTTGGAGCTGCTGGAGCAGAGTACTTCCTCACCATTGTGGACGTCTACACTCGCATGACTTGGGTGTATGTACTGCCCAAGAAGAGTGACGTAGCTGGAACGGTGAAGACCGATTGGTTGCCGATGGTGGAGCGGCAACAAGACCGACTTGTGAAGGCGATTCGCACTGACCGTGGGGGAGAGTTCCTGAGCAAGGATTTCTCAACTTGGCTGAAGAATCAGGGCATAAGGCACTCTCTTACCATGCCCTACTCTCCTGCAATGAACGGCATCGCCGAGCGTGCGAATCGGACACTCACGGAGACGGCTCGGGGACTTCTCATTGAAGCCGGTCTACCCAATTACTTTTGGCCGGATGCGGTGCGGCATGCTTGTGTGGCCAAGAACAGAGCCTTGACTCATGCGGGAGAAGACAAATGGGTGCCCTATGTGGAGTGGATTGGAAGGAAGCCGAAGGTGGATATGCTTCGGGTGTTCGGGTGCATGTGCATGGCACTTGTGCCTAAGAAACTTCGGCACAACAAGCTTGATGCCAAGGCAACATGGGCCGTGCACCTGGGCATGGCCCAAAACAGCAAGGGATGGCTTCTATGGGACCAATTTACCAAGAAGTTCCTGGTGAGCAGAGATTGCAAGTTCATGGAGAACTTACCGTACAAGGAGTGGAAGGCGGAGAACCAAGCGAAGATTGGTGTGCGGCTTGGAGAGGTGAAGAGTACCGGCTTGGAGCATGTGGAGCTGCCCTTGGAGCTGAGTAGCAGCAGCACAATCACGAGGCAATCTCCCCAAATGAATGGGGATGAGGAGGAGGAGGAGGTGCAGCAAGGTAATGAGCGTGCACCGCCACTTCCGCCTCGTGCTACAAGTGCTCGCGGGAACCGACCGGACTTACCGCAAAGCCATGAGAGCATTCAAGTCCCTGCAGCAGAGGAGGAAGGAAGGGGGAGGAGGACTCAGCCCCCCAATAGCTTGAGCTATGAACGGCTTGGAGGACCAGCCAACTCAACCTTGACCGGTTCGGCTCTCATGCTAGGTGATGATGCGGAAGATGAAAGCGAGGAGTGTGCTTTTGCCTTCTTCTCTCCGGTGGAGATACCGGGGGAGCCTATAAATCCCAAGGAGGCTTGGGAGGGCCCCAATGGGAAGGAGTGGAAGAAGGCCCCAGATGAAGAAATGGGGAGCATCATCGAGAACGACACGTTTGACTTGGTGAACCTACCTCCAGGGCGTAAGGCGATTTCTTCCAAGTGGCTCTTCAAGCGCAAGACCGACGCCGACGGCAACATTGAGCGCTACAAGAGCAGACTTGTAGCCAAGGGGTACCAGCAGCAGGAGAAGAAGGACTACAATGAAGTATATGCTCCTGTGGTGAAGGGTACAACCCTTCGAACCCTCTTCGCCGCGGCGGCCATCAAAGGATGGGTGGTGAAGCAAATGGACATTGTAACGGCCTTCCTCAACGGCGTTTTGGAGGAAGAGACCTACATGGAGCAGCCAGAGGGGTACAACGATCGGCTTCACTCCCTCAACGGCCGATCAATCCTTGTTCATGCTTGGCAAGGGGGAGCAGAAGAGCTTCATGGTGGTTTATGTGGATGACATCCTCATATTCTCACCCTCCTCTGACCTTGTGAAGGAGGTGATGCTGAAGCTTCAAGACAAGTTCAAGTGCAAGACCCTTGGTGACGTCAACTACTACCTTGGGCTTCACATTGAGCGAGATGTGGAGAAGCGGTGGATGCGAGTGCATCAAAAGAAGTACTTGGAGGCCTTGGCTGCAAACTTTGGGAAGAGTGAAGGTCATGTGGCTACTCCTCTTCCCTCAGGGTTCAAGTGTGTGAAAGGACCAGCGGAGGAAAGTGCTGGTGAAGAGGAGAGGCGCCGTTTTCACTCCTTGGTGGGCAGCCTCATGTATGCGGCCGTTCACACAAGGCCGGATGCAGCCTTTGCTACTGGGCAACTGGTTAGGGTTGTCCAATGCCCTAATGAGGAGCAGGTAGCAGCTGGAGAGAGGGTGGCCAAGTACCTTGGCCAAACAACAACTGTTGGACTGCAATACTCCGCGGCGGCACAAAGGCGTCAAAAGGGTGCGGATGGAGTCGAACCCAGGAGGCTCTTTCTCACCGCCTTCTCTGATGCATCTTGGGCATCAGAACCAGAGGACATGACAAGTGTGGGAGGCTTCATCTGCTGTGTTGGTGGAGGGCCAACAGCTTGGGAGAGCAAGAAACAAGTGGACCAAGCATTGAGCTCGGTGGAGTCCGAGTACATGGCACTCTTCCGTGCCATAAGAGAGGTTGTGTGGCAGCGGCGTTTGCTAGCTGAATTGGGGGAGGAGCAGCAAGGACCTACCCCACTCTACTGTGATAGCCAGGGTGCTATTGCATTGGCTAAGAACCCCGTTCTTCATGGCCTTACCAAGCACATGAAGGTGAAGTGGCATTGGGTGAGGAGCATGGTAACTGCGGGTGAAGTGGAGTTGCACTACGTGAAGACGACGGCGCAGCCAGCTGATATGATGACCAGGAGGCTGGTTGAGCAGCAGCATTGGAAGTGTTGCAAGCTTGCAAGGATGGCTCTGAACTAAGGGGAGCAGATTCTAAGGCCAACAATCCGAGGGGGAGTTTGTTGGTGCAACCCTATGGCTTGCACTCGGCTTGTCGTCCTTGTTTGTGTGTGTGCATGCATGGCATGGAATGAATTGTGAGTCTATGTCATTGCTATCCAGTGCTTGTGTGTGTGTTTGAATGGTGTATCACAATGTGGTTTGTGTCGGTGAAGACATTAGCGAGTTTTTACAACTCGCATGTCAAGTCGTCGTTTGTGTGTCGCATGTGCTTTTTTTTCTATTTTGTCGAGTGTGAAGTGTCCATCATCTCGCAGGTGTGTGCAGAAAGCCCCCATCAACTCAAGAAGAATTTATCTTGCAGATCCAAGAAAAAGAGCTCAAGATTTCAAGCCCAAGGGACGCGGATAAATATTAAATAGTGAAAATAGTAACGTTACTTCATGTAGTGTTACATTTCACTTGGTGTAGCCCCTTTGAGGGTTGGTTTCGAGAATCTTCATGGTTGGGGCCTCTGTGGTGGTGTACCACCAACCTAAACCTCGGCTCTTGGGGTATGTAGAGGCTGGGAACCATCTCCCTCTCGAACTCTTCTTGCTAAGTTAGTACTTCCAAGACTATAGTGGCTGCTATACCTCCTGCCAGTCAAACCGCCATAGCGTCGTCAAATCTTGATGGAATTTCATGATTCAACTTGCTGCTGATAGCCAATAGCAACGCGCTCCAGATCTACCTTACAGATCACAGATCTGATCGTTATCAATATTTGAAGCCGTCTGACAGAAATCCGACTGTGCTCTCTATCTCTCATTATAGGCACATCTGAGCCTATTGTGACTATAACATCTCCCACACAATCTCTCCACTCTCCCACACTAACTCTCCACTCTCCCACACTATCTCTCCACTCTCCCACACTATCTCTCGACTCTCCCACACTACCTCTCCACTCTCCCACACTATCTCTCCTCTATCTCTCCACTCTGTCACACTACCTCTCCACTCTCCCACACTATCCACTATCCCACACTATCTCTCCACGCTGCCACACTATCTCTCCACTCTTCCACACTATCTCTCCACCCTGCCACACTATCTCTCCACTCTCCCACACTCTCTCTCCACTATCTCTCCACTCTCCCATACTATCTCTCCACTCTCCCACACTCTCTCTCCACTCTCTCTCCACTCTTTCACACTATCTCTCCATTCTCCCACACTCTCTCTCCGCACTCTCTCCACTCTGTCACACTATCTCTCCATTCTCCCACACTCTCTCTCCACTCTCTCCCCAGTCTGCCACACTTTCTCTCCACTCTGCCACACTATCTCTCCACTCTCCCACACTATCTCTCCACACTCCCACAATATATTTCCACTCTCCCACACTATCTCTCCACTCTCACACACAATCTCTCCACTCTCTCCACTATTTCTCCACTGTCCCGCACTATCTCTCAACTCTTCCACACTATCTCTCCACTCTTCCATACTATCTCTCTCCTCTCCCACACTATCTCTGAACTCTCTCACACTATCTCTCCACTCTCCCACACTATCTCTCCACTCTGCCACACTATCTCTCCACTCTCCCACACTTTCTCTCCACTCTGCCACACTAACTCTCCACTCTCCCACACACTCTCTCCACTATCTATCCACTCTCCCACACTATCTCTCAACTCTCCCAAACTATCTCTCCTCTATCTCTCCACTCTGTCACACTATCTCTCAACTCACCCACACCATCTCTCCTCTCTCCCACACCATCTCTCCACTCTCCCACACTATCTCTCCACTATCTCTCCATTCTCCCACACTCTCTCCACTCTCCCACACCATCTCTCCACTCTTGCACACAATCTCTCCACTCTCTCCACAACCTCTCCACTGTCCCAAAATATCTCTCCACTCTCCCATACAATCTCTCCACTCCCCCACACTATCTCTCCACTCTCCCATACTATCTCTCTACTCTCCCACACAATCGCTCCAATATCTATCCACTCTTACACACATTCTCTCCTCTCTCCCACACTATCTCTCCACTCTTCCACACTATCATTCCACTCTCCCACACTATCTCTCCCCTCTCCCACACTATCTCTCCACTCTTCCACACTATCTCCCACACTATCTCTCCACTCCCCTACACAATCTCTCCACTCTTCCACACTATCTTTCCACTATCTGTCCACTCTGTCACACTATCTCTCCACTCCCCCACACTATCTCTTCACTCTCCCACACTATCTCTCCACTCTTCCACATTATCTCTCCAGTATCTCTCCACTCTCCCACACTATCTCTCCACTCTCGCACACTATCTCTCCACTCTCCTACACTATCTTTCCACTCTTCCACACTATCTCTCCACCCTCCCACACTATCTCTCACATCACCCACACTATCTCTCTACTCTCACACACTATCCCTCCACTCTTCCACACTATCTCTCCACTCTCCCACACTATCTCTCCAGTCTGTCACACTATCTCTCCACTCTCCCACACTATCTCTCCACTCTCCCACACTATCTCTCCACACTCCCACACTATCTCCCCACTCTCCCACACTATCTCTCCACTATCTCTCAACTGTGTCACACTATCTCTCCACTATCTCTCCACTCTTCCACACTATCTCTCCACTATCTCTCCACAATCTCTCCACTCTCCCACACAATCTCTCCACTTTCCCACACTATCACTCTACAATCTCTCCACTCTTTCCACTCTCCCACACTATCTCTTCACTCTCCAACACTATCACTCCACTCATCCACACTATCTCTCCACCTTCCCACACTATCTCTCCACTCTCCCACACTATCTCTCCACAATCTCTCCACTCTCCCACACTATCTCTCCACTCTCCCACACTATCTCTCCACTCTCCAACACTATCTCTCCACTGTCCCACGCTATCTCTCCACTATCTCTCCACTATCTCTCCACTCTCCCAGACTATCTCTCCACTCTCCCACACTATCAATCCACTCATCCACACTATCTCTCCACCCTCCCACACTATCTGTCCACTCTCCCACACTATCTCTCCACTATCTCTTCACTCTGTCACTCAATCTCTCCACACTCTCACACTATCTCTCCACTCTCCCACACTATCTCTACACTCTCCCACACCATCTCTCCACTATCTCTCCACTATCGCTCCACTCTCCCACACTATCTCTCCACTCTCCCGCATTATTTCTCCACTCTTCCACACTATCTGTCCACTTTCTCTCCACAATCTCTCCATTCTCCCACACTATCTCACCACTCTCCCACACTATCTCTCCACTCTCCCACACTATCTCTCCACTATCTCTCCACTATCTCTCCACTCTCCCACACTATCTCTCCACTCTCCCACACTATCTCTCCACCCTCCCACACTATCTCTCAACTCTCCCACACTATCTCTCCACTCTCCCACACTATCTATCCACTATCTCTCCACTCTGTCACTCAATCTCTCCACACTCTCACACTATCTCTCCACTCTCCCACACTATCTCTCCACTATCTCTCCACTATCTCTCTACTCTCCCACACTATCTCTCCACTCTCCCATACTATCTCTCCACTCTCCCACACAATCTCTCCCCACTCCCACACTATCTCTCCACTCTCCCACAGGATCTCTCCACTATCTCTTCACTCCCCCACACTATCTCACCACTCTCCCACACTATCTCTCCACTCTCCCACACTATCTCTCCACTCCCTCAAACTATCTCTCCACTCTCCTACACTATCTCTCCACTCTCCCACACAATCTCTCCACTATCTCGTCACTCCCCCACACTATCTCACCACTCTCCCACACTATCTCTCCACTCTCCCACACTATCTCTCCACTATTTCTCCACTATCTCTTCACTCTCCCACACTATCTCTCCACTTTCCCACACTATCACTCCACTCATCC